GCTTACTTCTCCTCTATAACTTTAATTTGCTTAAGATTACTTTTTTTACAAAATGCATATAATAAAAATATAAAAAATAATAGCTTTTTTCTAAAATTTCTTTATTAGACTTTATTTTTAACTCCACTTCCATTTTTCTACTTTTAATAAATAAAATCTACTTGATTTTATAATATTGCATTTTTTGCAATTCCTCTTTTTAGATATATTAATAACCATTGGATTTCAAATAGATTCACTTAAAATTATTAATCTACAGTGGTAAAAGCTTTAAGAATACTTAGCATTTATTGCATTTATTGCATTTTTTCAGTATAGATTAGCTAAATAAGCTTCTTGAAAAAGTATTATAAAATATATAAAAAATAATTTAATAAATTATATAATATAATTTCTTTATATTAGGTATAATCATTCTTGAAGATTATTACAGCATTAAGTTTATTTATAAATTTCAACAACAATTAATTAATTCAAAATTTTTATTAATTTTAATTATTAAGCTATTTTTATGCATATGAGATCTTTATAATAGAAAGTGAAACTACCAAGAAAAATAAATTTTACTTTTATATGTCAAATATGATTTTAAGACTAAAATATTCAAATTTAATATTAACTCATTTGTTTTTTCTAGCAGTTTCTTTCCTTTTTATTTCAAAAACCATATATGATTGAAATCAGCTAATAAGATTTTCTTCTTTTTATTGATTATCTTATATATATATATATATAAGCTTATCAATAAAAAGGAAGGAAATCTAAAAAAAATGTTTTTATAAGTTAAAGTTAAATCTGAACTTATTTTACTAAAAAAATTATATTTAGCATATGAAGTAAAATTTTAATTTTTTTTAGATTTCCTCCTTTTCTATTGACAAGCTTCTATATATATTTTTAGAAATTCTAATGAGTTGAGTTGTGTTAAATTTAAAGATAACTTAACTTAACTCAAAAAATTTGAGTTATGTCGAATTGAGTTAAAAAATTTTAAAACTCTAACTCTACTTGATTTGAGTTATCTTTAAATTTGACTCGACTCAACTTGAATCAAATAAAATCCCATAAATATATAAGAAGTAGTCAGTATAAAAGATGAAAATCCAAATTTTGATTAAAATTTATATTATTAGACCATTTGGCTGATCTTGATCATATACACAAATTTAGTTTTATAATAAAAAATTAACAAAAATAATTTCTACCTTTTCTACTGATCACCATATTTGCTAATTATATAACTAATAAAATATTAAAATTATATTAAAGTCATTTTAAAGGCTATTATCTCATGATTTACCAATCAGAATATTGTAAAGTCTGTATTATCATATTTATTGAGATGTACTAATCAAAACAAATTATGTTGCATTTCTAATAGATCACTGAATGCTGAAATATTCAAAAAAAATATTTTAAAAATAATTATTTTAACTGGTAGAATTCTGCAATTCAATTTGATATTTGAATGTTTGATTTGAAAATCAAATCAAATACAAATACAAATTTATATTTGATTTAGTTCGATCAAATTCAAATCAAAGAATAATTTATTTGATTAAATCTATATTAATGTTTGATTTAATTCGATTAAATTCAAATTAAGTATTTAAATATTTGATTTGATTCGAATCAATAGTAAAGCTATTTTCAAAGCTTCAGAAGTGGCTTATACTAAGAAAAGCATAATAAAAAGTGACATCATAGCTTTGAAAATACCTTTTTTACTAAGAAAATCATAGCAAAAATGCCTCTGCAATTTTAGAAATACATTTTTTACTAAGAAAGCTATAGTAAAAAGCATTTCTATAGCTTTAGAAATGCCTTTTTTACTAAGAAAACTATAGTAAAATGTGTCTTTATAGCTTTAGAAATGTCTTTTTTACTAAGAAAAATATAGTAAAAAATGTTTTCACGACTTCAGAGATGTTATTTTACCAAAAAACATAATAAGAATGCATCTGTAGCTTTAGAAATATTATTTTACTAAGAAAATATAGTAAAAAATGTGTTTGTAGCTTTAGAGATATTTTTTACTAATAAACCTAGTAAAAAAATGTGTTTGCAGTTTCAAAAATATTTTTTTACTAATAAAATATTATGAAATCAAAATGTCAGTTATTACTAAGTTTTCTTAGTAAAACTGAAGCTGTAATAATAGTTATTACTAAGTTTTCATAGTAAAACTAAAGCCACAATGGCAATTATTACTAAATTTTCTTAGTAAAATGTTGGCTAGAGAGTTATTTTACTAAGTTAAATAGTAAAAATTCTCCAATTACTAAACTTACTTTGTAAAAGCTATCTTTGAAATTTTTTAGTGTAATTACTAATAATTTTCTTAATTAATATCTGATTTGATTTAATTTAATTTTGAGAAACTCTAATAACTGGTATAAGGTTATTTGTCTAAACTCATTTTGGATTTGGCTAAACATCTAAACCTTTAGTTTCACTAAATTTTTACTAAGTGTTTGATATAATTTCGCTATTTTTATAAGCTTTGATATAGTTTTACCTTTTTTTGAATTTCGCAGATTTTTTAATAAGGTTTGAATATAATTTAACCAAGTTTTACCTTTATCATTTAGACGTCTGTCTAAACTCTGGATTACATACATTACTTAATTTTTTATGTTATTGAGAAGAACAACAAATTTTGTAATAAGTTATTTAAGCTATAAAATTAAAAATTAAAAATTTTTTAATTTATTTAACTATATATTATAACTCAAATGATCTTTAAGAATTGGAAAATATGGCACAATAAAATAATCTACAAATGATTAACATGTAAATTGATCTATAAAATTAATGACATAATGATCTGCAAAAGTGATCTGTGAAATTAACCAGATCAGTTAATGAAGAAATAAAGTAATAAATCATTAGCCCATAACATGCATAACTTTCTAAACTAGAAACTCCAAATAAGAACTTTAAGGAAAAACTAGTCAAAGGCTAAGTATAAAGATGTAGTAATAATTTAAGAATAATAAAAACAATATAATTATATTTTTTACATCTCTTCAAATATATATATATTATAGTTATAGGACTATTACATAGCGATTAGGTAGTCATTACTCAATTATTATAGCAGAATTATATAGAAAAAGATGAGGAAATTATTAGCAATTTAGTGTAGAAATTTTATTATAAATAAGCTGAGTTTTTCATTATGTACCGTTATGAAATTTAGAAAAAAGTTTAAAAGAGATAATTTATAAGTTAATAAAAATCTTTGCTAAATTGTCTTAGCAAATCAATCACCTGTGTCAAACATATTTTATGTCAAACCACTTTGTGTCAACTGTGTTTAATATTATTGATTTATTTGTGTCAATAAATCTTTTAAATGTTAAACATCTGCTTGTGTCAACAATCGTATTTAAGAGTCACCAATGAGTTAAAGTGTTTAATATTGTAAATACTTTAAGCTGAGCACCACTAACCTGATTCTAATAAGAGTATTATAATAGTGATAAGGTAATTTCTCTAACATCTTAAAAAATTACGAGTTATCATAGTGAATTAGAAGTCTTTATACTTGCTAATTTAGAAACTTAATCATGAAAGTACACTGATGTTAAGCGAAGTTCAAAGATAATTAAAGTCTCTTTTAATTTATCATAAAGATTAAGCTAAATCTTGCTGCTATTTAATTGATTATGTGTTTCAGTCTGCCTAATTAACAGTTAGGTAACAATATATTATAAAAAATCTTTTTTTATAAATAAAAAATTAACCTGAATTAATTTATCATTTAAACAATTTAATGCTTATTGTACATTTAAATTAATTACATATACAAAATATCTAAAATATTTATATACTTTTTTTTAAAAAAAAATTCTTTTTGATTTTCCTAATTTTCTAATAAATAAATAAATCTATCATTATTTTTAGTGTTATAATATAATAATCATTAACTATTATATAAAATAAATATTAAATATTAGTTTAAATTTATAATTAATTAAATTAAATCAAATTAATAAAATAAAATTTTACTTTATTTTCAATTGATAAATTTTCTAATCTTAAATTTTGTAATTTCCAATTAATATCAATAAAATGAGCAGTTATAGATAAAAATAATTTTGTTGAAGGAGATATACAAGTATTAATGATAAAGAAATTTTACAGAAAATTCTTGCAGAATGACTTGTATAATTTTTGAATTTATTTCATAAATATTATAATATTTTTAATATTTGATACTTCGTCTTTATCTGAATATTTACTATTTTTTGACTTTTTTTAGAGATTCTAACAAAGTTTCAAATGATGGCAGGTATCTATCATTATATTGATAAAACATGCATAGAGACTTATAATATTTATTAAATAATATATGATATCAATTTTTTATTGAATTTCTTTATTACATCTGGATATTCCATAAAAATCCTCTTTAGCACTTATTGCTTTCTTATTATAATAATCAATTACAATATATTCAAAAAGCTCACCTGGTTCTGAGATTTGGTAGAAATAATGATCATATTTTAAGCCATTTTTATAAACTGTTTAATGTGATCTACTTCACAAGAATATTTATTCTACATTTATGAAATAAAATGCTAGATAAATTTATTATTTTTATCAGACTTTTTAAATTAATTTATTGAGATTTATCTGACTAGAAAAAAAAATATTGTTTACAGTTTCTTTGAGTATATTCTTTACAATTTGATATAAGATACATATATTGTTCATCTTTATAGATTTATTTATAATATATTTTCCTATTTTGTAAAAAAGGTTAGACTGTTTTCATTTTACAATCTCAACTCTCTAAATAGAAGGCTTATTATTAAAGTTAGGCTTGTTTATATGTGAAGTGCTATAGTATTTTTTTCCAGTAAATACTATTAAAATAAGACTTTCTCATATGCTATTTTAAGATAAGATATTTTGTTATATTTTCTGAGAAAGATATTAACTTCATTACAGAGATTTTTTATTATTTTTATAGATATGTTTACTATCTTGAACTAATATTTTTCTTTCGAAAACCTATTGTTATTATCATAAGCTGTATCATATTTCTGAAAAAATTCTTCTGGACAGACAAGATATAAGGAATTATTATTCCTATATTTTATTCTGAATTCCTTTCTTTTAACAAAATCAACAACAAGTTTGATATTTTTCCATTCAGCTGAGATAACATTTTTAGCAAGTTCATATAAGAAAAAGGGTGATTTACTATTCCTAGCTATACTATAGAATATATTCATATATATTTTAAAAGCACATTATTTCATATCCAAGCAAGAACTGTCAAAACAAATTGAATCATATTCTACCATAAATCCATGCTTTTCTTTATTAATAAAGTGATATATATTTTTAGTAAGATCGCTACACTTTTCTTCCTCTGCATTTGCTAAGACTTGCTCAATAACTCCTGATAATGATAAATCTAGATATAAAACTTATTACCAAATCTATATTTTCCTTTTTTTCTTTCAAAGAAGCAAGATACCCTTTATCTATTTTTGTTTACCAAATAAAAATTCCAATACACTAATATAGAGACCATTTTCTTTAAGAATGTTATTATATCAAATAGATCATATGAGAATATCTTGATTATTGAATTTGAAATTATTCTCATAAAGCTACTACTTTGTTCTATAGATACAGTCTGTTCTTGAGATAAAATGATTTTATCAGGTAAGAGATTATATGTCATAATAAAATATGAATACAATGATGTAAAGTTAAAGCCAGTTATCAGATATCTATTTTTGAGTTCTTTTATTAATAGAAAGATATAGGTTCTAGGAAACTTTCAGTTTCTGTTTGTTGATATTAGATTATGTTGGTTAAGACCCCCTTTGCTATGTATTAGTACTTAAAAGATTGCAAACCTTCATGTTTATTGCAAAATAATATGTATTGAATAATGATATAAAATCTATACTTGCAATCTTCCTGTATTCATTAATTATATTGTACTTAATCATTAAACATTAACAGCTAAGAGTATTGATAATAAAGTATTCAGTTACTTCACATATTTGCTTGACTATTGTGTATTTATTTCTTTTAATATTCTTTCATAATATTTATTCATGTGATGAATAGGTAAATCTACTTTGTCATTAAGATTAAACTACTTTAAATAATATGTGAGATTACTTTTATCAGCTTTAGAATAAAATCCTATAAAACAAGATCAGATATCAATAGTTATACATCCTAAAATTTTAAGATACTTTAAATAAAAATATCTATTATTAATCTTTATCATATTTTATTGATATTGTCATTTTACAATTTTCTCAATGCCTGATGGTTTGATTGATATATGATTAAACATCTATTTAAGAACTTTTAACTTCTTAGTTTTCTTTACAATAAACTGCTAATTATATTGAGAATTGTTAAGGTTTATCTGCATATTCAGAATCAAATTCTTTTAACATAATGCGAATATTTTCAATAAATTAGTTTGATCTCTATATATAACTGTAATTTACTGTAGGTGCAATGCAATTTTAACATTAATTTGCTTTAATGGTTTAGGATCGTCTTTCCAATAAATAGTTATACAAATTATAAATATAATGTCTTCTTCGTATTTTGCATTAAGTATCTTATCCATTTTTTGTAAACTATATATTTCTATATTTCACTAAAAATAAGAGTCCTATTATATATAAGAGTTAAAGAAAATAACAGATTATTATATTTGTTATTACTTATTGAGTTGTAATTATTCATAGATACTTGGAAGATATAAGTACCTCTCAGAATATATCTGTATAAATAATTACTTAATACTGCTTAATTTGAAAGAGATAATTTTTCTTTATAAGCTACTTTGTAATAATAATAAGTAGAATTTAACAGTATTAATATCAACTTCACAAATTACTTTTAATATATTATATTGATCAAAATGATTCTATATTCTTATACAGATATATAACTTCTTTTTTATATGATAATCTTAAAGTGAAAAAATGCTAATAGTTTTGATCCTGAATTTTGATATGCTTCTAAGAATATTAGATAATATCTTTACTAATTTGGCCTTAAACATTAATAGTGATATCTCTTCAGGTACTATAATATCAAAGAAGGATTTAATGTCTATAATTTTTACAATTATCTTTTACTTATTAATCAAAGTACCATACAAAATATAAGTAGAAATCCTTTTTACATATTTGGCATTATCACTAACTTCAGTAGGTATGAAGTAAATATTTTGCTTATTGAATAAGCATTGCCAAAGTAAAGCTATCTTTCCATTATCATATTCTACCATAATATCATTACATAATAGAATATCACTATGGATCTAATGTCATCATAATAGGTAAGCAGATTAGTTTCACAATCAGTTTGATTGAAAATATTTAGGGTATACATGATGTTAGTAAAAAAAGTTATACTATCTCTGAAATGTTTAAAATAATTTTTTTTGATGAATGCAAAAAGAGATGTATAATCAGTTGACAAAAAATCATGAATAAATATATTCTTATTAGGTAATACTTAGGATAGTCTTTTGTATAATTTATTATATAAATAATGGCAGAAGACTATCTCAAATACTAGTATATACTTAAGCATATTTAATATCTAAGTTAGGTAAGTATGCAAAAATATTGGTAGAAAAATACCTAATTACTAGTATATATACAATTATATGCAGGGTTGGAAATTTTATATATACTAAATAAAATTACTATTGTACTTGTACTGTACTTATACTAATTTTTATATTAATTATTATAATATACTAATGTATTAACTGTCTGTACTAATCATTGTACTAACACTGTACTTTTTAACTTTGATTATATGTAATATAGTCAAATCTTGATATAGCGAATCATTGATATAACAAAATTTTAAATCAAATATATTAAATATACTATATTATAGTGAATTAGTCAACTAAATTCTTTAAAAAATTCGTTATAAGCTTATAATGAAGTTGAGATTCAAATCTTAGAGTTTGTTATATCAAAAGTTTACTGTATATACAAATTTAATAAGCAAATAAAAAAAGAAGACAACATTATATGTATCTGAAAGTATAGTCTTCTTCGTAATTATTATATAAAATTGGAAAAAGACTACACTTTTCTAGATATATGAGAGGCGGTCAGTAGAAAAGGGTGAAATTTAAATTTTGATCAAAATTTATATTATTAGACCACTTAGCTAATCTCAATTATGTGTACAAATTTGGCTTAATAATAAAAATTAACAAAAATTTTGGATTTTCCTCTTTTCTACTAACTGCCTCCCATATGTTTAAATATGATATAACCTTCGCATAATATAGAGATATACCAAAAAAAAAAAATACAAAGTTGGCTGATAGTCTTTATTAGTAAATATTCCCATTTCTATCTAATTAGCGCAAATAAATATATTCTCTTCAAGGTATCTTTCTTTAGAAATATTATAAAATTATGAAAGAAAAATACCCTATCACTAGTATAAACTCAGGTATAATATATAGCTTTCTTCAAAATTATTATATAAAAAATTGAAAGAAGGCTACACTTTAATAATATATATGTGTCTAGATATAATTTGAATACAAAGAAGTTTACACATTCCTAGATAAAGATAATTCCCATAATTATTTTAAAATTTTTAATTAGTTGCAACTATTTATGAATTTTATATTAAAATAAATTTACAAGGAGTTGTAACCAAGTTGCAACTTCTCACTAGTCGAAATAATCCATTTCGTCACTTTTTTAAAGTGCTGAATGTTGGCCAAAATATAGTCTAATTTCTGCTGATCATTACCAAAACAATCGGCATTTTTAGTTAAAGCTGATGTTGCCCAATTCAGGTGTCACACAAAAGAACATTCAGATATTAACGATTGGTAGTTATTATATATCACTAGGCAAAATAATATAATTCGTCACATTTAAAGTATCAAAAGTTGGTCAAATTATAGTCTAATTCTACTAATCATTGCCAAAAAATCAGCATTTTAGATAAATAGAAAATTGGCTATCAATCAGCATTAATGTTAAAAATTGGTCAAAATTCAGCATAAATCAACTTAAAATCGGTTAATAATCAGCTTAAAAACAACTAAAAATCAATTCAGCAATTATTTATAAAATCAAAACTAATAAAACTCATTTTTGTATATTTATAATTTATAATTTTATTTTTATTATTACATAATAAATTATTCAAAAAGAATATATATTTTATTCAAAAAAGATACATTTCATTTTTAAAGATAAGAAAAAAATAAAGAAAACTGTTAAAAATCACCCAAAAATTACCTCTGAAAGGCTTACCTTAATGTATTCCTAAAGATAGTAAAGAAAAAAATAAAGAAAACTTTTAAAAAATCAACAAAAAACCATCTCTGATAGGCTTATCTTAATGTATTCCTAAAGATAGTAAAGAAAAAATAAAGAAAACAGTTAAAAAACTATCCCAAAAATCACCTTCGAAAGGCTTACCTTAATGTATTCCTAAAAAAAGTAAAAAAAAATAAAGAAAACTATTAAAAACCACCAAAATCTACCTCCAATAGGCTTACCTTAATGTATTCCTAAAAAAAAATAAAGAAAAAATAAAGAAAACTGTTAAAAAACACCCCAAAAACCACCTCTGATAGGCTTACCTTAATGTATTCCTAAAGATAGTAAAGAAAAAATAAAGAAAACAGTTAAAAAACTACCCCAAAAATCATTTCCAATAGGCTTACCGTAATGTATTCCTAAAAAAAGTAAAAAAAATAAAGAAAACTGTTAAAAAACTACCAAAAAATCATTTCTGATAGGCTTACCTTAATGTATTCCTAAAAAAAATTAAAGAAAAAATAAAGAAAACTGTTAAAAACCACCAAAATCCACCTCCAATAGGCTTACCTTAATGTATTCCTAAAAAAAAATAAAGAAAAAATAAAGAAAACTGTTATAAAACCACCAAAAAACAACCTCTGATAGGCTTACCTTAGTTTCGAAAAGAGAATTTCCCTAAAAAAAACAAAGAAAACAGAAAAAAGGGTTAAAAACCATTCAAAAGTCACCTCCAAAAGGCTTACCTTAGTTTCGAAAAGAGAATTTCCCTACAAAAAACAAAAAAAAATAAAGAAAAATGGTTAAAAATTGCCTTCAATTTACTTACCTTAATTCCAAAATGAGAATTTTCCTAAAAAAACAAGAAAAAAGAAAGAAAATGCCAAAAAAGTCACTTCCGATTTGCTTACCTTAATTCCTAAATAAGAATTTCCTAAAAAAACAAGAAAATTTAAAGGAAAAAGTTAAGTTTTCGCCCAAATATCGTCTCACTAGAAAAAAAAGGAAGAAA